TGAGTTGGAGTGATGTTCCTCAGTAGTATCGTGTACGCCATCATCGATTGATAGGTGTACTGCTGCTTCTTATACTGTGTGCCGTTTGTTGGGTATGGCAGGGACCCGTCGAAGAAGCCAACGATTTGCGCTCCTTCCATCATCAGCTCGAATTCGAACGACCAGGTAAAGAAATCCTTCCCGTCGAAGGGTTTTGTCGTTTGCAGTTTTAGAACGTGCGCGAACTGCGACTGAACTTGTAGTGCGTCCAGCGTTCTCTCTTGTCCCGGTGCAGGTTGTGGTTGTGGCATGAAACTGACGGAGCCGCGCTGGGGCTCGTACGGAGCGAAGGTAGGTTGTTGTTGTTGATTTCCGCGTGCGTAGGATGAGCCATCAAGACTCATGGGCGTCACGTTGTTGTTGTTGTTGCTGTTGTTTGATTGCGCAGGTGCTCCTTGCTGATGCTGCTCGTAGAAGGACATGAAGGAGAAGAACTTCTCCATCATGCTTAGATCGAAGCCCGCGCCTTGGTTTGTGGGTGTTTCAGTAGACCCAGCTGCCGGTCTCGTTGTTGTGCCTTCCTCTATCTGTAGGCCAGAGGCAGGAGGTGGAGTAGGGGTAGTACCAGGAGAGCCGTTGGAGGAGCTCCTCTCCTTTCTAGTAGACATGTCTCTTGGTGTATTAGGTGTTGAGGAGAGATAATTTTTACCCTAACCAGCTCTCATACCATGTTGGGCTGAGTGCCCCTTAGGATCTTTGGTAGGGTTAAACTCTGAGTAGAGTGATGTAGTAGCGGGAGCGTCTAGATGAAGTCCTTGAACCACCTTGCGCTGGTATGTGAGGGCAAAGTAAGTTGATTAAAACAAGCAAGTAGAAAGTTTTATATAAGAGTACAGGGAATACGAAGAGATATAATTAAACCGTTTTGCTGTTGCAGTTCGATATAGTGCGACTCGGGCAACTGCTCAATGTCGAGTCAGTTGTGTGTCCTTGCTGTCGCGCTGCATTTGTCAAGTCAAAGGTCGCTGACCTTTGACTTTCGCGTAACCTCCAGCGGTTACTTCAACCTCCGAGGGTTGACTCGCTGGTGCCTCGATATGCTCTGCTTCGCTTGTGCCTTGGTGTTTCGACACGACAGAGGCGCTTAAGATTGTTTGTTCCCAACAGTTATTCCTGGTTGGTTAGCTGGCGGCTGCATCGGGGACGTTCTATGCTGTTAGGGGGGTTACAGAGGAGTGGTGATGGGTGGACTATTCTAGCCTTTCATCAAGCAGGTTTGGGTGGGGTGATAGCACGGCTTCGTGGTAGCAGGGTTGCAATGGCCCTCTTTTGCAATGGCCCAGGGAGGGAGGCGAGGAATGGGAAAGGGGGGAAGGTACATATGTACCATGTGTGGTGGCTGCTGCTGCCTTCTGATTTTAGCCACACGGTGGCTGATGCATTTTCCTTCTATTATTGCTTGTTGCGGTTTGTTGCATTGGATGGGATGTGATACCATCCCATAGTGTAATGCAGTTGTGCCAAAGTTCTATCCAGTTTCCATGCATGGCTCTCACCAGGCATCTCAGAATAACCATGTGGTAACTACTGACAGCAAGGCACAAGCACAACGGTAGTACCACCATGAGGGCTCTAGGCTCCTGCACATGTGCATTGCTTCACAGGCATTCACGTCCTGCATCAACCCCACTACTCCTGCCACGCTCCCTGGTACCGTACCAACACAGCATCTGATACAATGCTGCTTCAGTAGTCAACTCAACAACACCAGTGACTGAAATCACACAATACATTGCTTGCTTCACGTGTGCAGTACAAAATCACGTCTTGCAACAACCCCTCTACTCCTGCCTTCTCCCCACCACCAGCACAGCATCGAGGCAATGCTGCTTCAGCAGTTGCAAGTGTCACCGGAGTCACACTAGCTAGTGAAAGCTGCATGAAGGTGAGACTGGATTGGAACCCCAACCTTACCCCCATGAACCATCCTTCCAGCCTGGTTTCTCAGGCAGAGAACCTTCCTTTCCAACATGACCACTCCACCCTCCCTGCACTGCCCTCAGGCTTATTGGAATATCAGGACCAGGAGACTGGCCTAGCCCACGCCTATGCTTGTATCGCTTTTGTGAGACGCCCAACCGAACAGTGATACAAGCATAGCCCGCGGCTATGCCTACGCTATGCCTAGGCACGCCAGGCGAGGCACTTGGAGGGCTTGAGAGAGTCCCCATCCCCCTTCTGCAGGCTCTTGGGCAGGATGACGTCATCCACCCCATGCACCTGCACCACTCGCAGAGAGATGACGTCAGCGGCCACCACGGAAGCTTCCTGCGGGCCGTCCTTGGCCTGCACCTCGAGTGGCTTGGCGCCGCGAGGTGACACCTTCACCAGACGAGCCTTGCACCCGCCTGCCGCTGCCTTGAGCTGTATCAGGGACGAGAGAAGGCGAGAATAGGGTTTAGAGTGGTTGGGAGGGATTGGGTGCCGTAGGAGGATGTCAGATCCTCACAATGATGGATAGGTCACACAATGGGGCATGGATGGTTGTTGGTTGCGCTCCTAGGCGAGGTAGTAGAATACCATGGTGTCACAAGATGATGCGGAACGAATTGGCATGTGACTGCAGCAATACCACGTTGAGCCATTCTAGGCAGCCACCCAAAGCCGCTTCCCTTCTTCTTTATCATATCAGATCACTCCATTGGTGGTGCTATCAGTCTCACCTGCTTTCCCTGGGGCAGCGCCATCAAATCAGCAGCGGTCAACTTCTTCTGCACCACGTGCAGCAGCAGCGCCTCGCGCAGCTCCTTATCTGTTCCAGTCGCACACTCAACCCACACCCCTCGCAAACCCCACTATCATGTCTCACCTGCTTCCCTTGCGGGAGGGCCATGAGCTCAGCGGCGGTAAACTTCTTCTGCACCACGTGCAGCAGCAGCACCTCGCGCAGCACCTTGTCGTCCTTGATCGCCTTCTTCGTGTCATTCGAGAGCTCCTCGAACGCCGCGTCTGTGGGCGCAAAGAGCGTCGCCTCGTAGCAGTTGAAGAGGTCGGGAAGGTCCTCGTCCAGGTCTGAAATATCGAGTGGAAAGCAGGGGTGTAGATGTAGGGGAATGGGCGTGTCAGGTAGATGAGGGACAAACGCCGCATCGGTGGGAGCGCTGAAAGAACAGATTACATGGGATACAATGAACGAACTGCTTCTTCGTCAACCAACGAACGATAGGCCTTGGCTTTCAGGGGAATTCAAGGCTATTATGGATAATCCGTACATGTCGTCTTGAGCGCGCTGATTCTGTTTTTGTAGAAAAAAAAAAAAAAAAAAAAAAAAAAAAAAAAAAAAAAAACGCTATTTTGGATGATCCCTACCTGCCGTCTTGAGCGCGGCGATCAAGGTCGAGTAGTTTCCAGCCGCTGTGAGCTCCTTCACTAGGTTGCTCACCACCAGCTTCCCGTCGAAGCGGCAGTACGGGCGGTTCCGCGCAGCCTCGGAAGGTGAGAGAGATATGGCCAAGACTGCCGCCAGCAACAGAATGGCGAAGCAAGACACCCTAGTAGGAGCCATAATGCCAGGCGGAGACGGGAGATAGCGGCGGAATATTAAAAGAGAATGAACTCGAGGTGATCTATATAAAGCTTATTCGGCGCAGTGTCTGGAACGGTATCAAACAAGCGGATCAAAGGAGAATTTCCAAGGGCAACTGAAGTGAGGAAGCAGAATGTAAGAAAATTGATGAGGAAAAGCTAGGGGACCGAATTTATGCAAACCTCTGGAAGGATGTGGAACATTGGAATTTTGGAATTTCGAATGCGTCTCGGCAAGTGGAGAATGCGGCTCGCGTGAAGCGGCTCGCACCGCAGCATCTTCCCAGATCACACCACTTAGAAGCGGGGTCACCGCGCCGTCAAGTATATGGAGCGCAGGAAACGGCCGTCAACAACATCTAACCAATCAAAGTGCTCGAAAGTGGTGTGCCAAAACTTTGGTCGGTGTTCTGACCTTCGTGATTCCTTCCTTTCTCATGGTGACCATGAACCAGCGTGTCTGGCTGGCTGGGGCGGGCGAAAACCTCGCACGCGGGAATTTCCACAAGGCTTGTGAATTTTGCTGGGGATGTGCTGCACTGCACAATACTCGATGCAAAGCGCTTGCCGTGCAGTATGACGAACAGATATGGGAGAAAAACACACGTCGTGTTGCATGGTCACGCGGTATACTTGTATCGCTATTTGAAGTGACACAATGCCAGAATGGGTTACTCCCATGACTAAACTTGTTAGTGGGGGTGGACTAGAGTAGTATGGTAAAAAAGAAAGGGCGCTCTACGTCCACGCAGTATGCCTTATTCTAAAGCTCTCATTGCAGCAGTCACTTTCGCATCCCCGCAGCAGCATCAGCCCGCCCGTCGGCCATCACCAACATGCCAACCCATCTCCCGGACTATATCCAGGTCAAATCATAGCGCCATCGCACCATTCCCTCACACTCCAACCAGTGTACCTCCTTCGCATAGCTAAAACACCCTCTCCTACACAACTCCACTACTGCCCCTTTGCGCAACAAGCAACGATCCCGTTATCCCCATCAACAACCACCCCTTCCTCCTCCTCCGCCTCTCTAATTAAGTCTGCAGCAGCACCGGCCTGCCCCCCGGCCACCAGCGTCTGAACCATTACCTAGTCCATCGGTGGTTTGAGTCCTCACTCCAAGGCACCATCCCCTCAATCTCACATCAGTGCACCAACTCCCTTGCATGCATCTGAGCCATCTCCTTCACATCCCCATCAACCACCACCCCTTCCTCCTCCTCCGCCTCTCTAACCATCTCGGCAGCAGCACCACCGTGCCGTCCTGCCACCAGTGCCCGAACCATGCCCCGCACTATGGGTGGGCTGAGTGAGTCCCCACTTCGGGGCAGCACTGCCCTGCCATCCTGCCACCAGTGCCCGAACCATGCCCCGGACTATGGGTGGGATGAGCAGCACCCTGCCGCTTCAAGGCACCATCCCCAAAGCTCACATCAATGCACCATCTCCCTTGCATGCGACTGAGCCATTTCCTTCACATCCCCATCAACCGCCACCCCTTCCTCCTCCTCCGCCTCTCTCACAAGCTCTGCAGCAGCACCACCCTGCCCCCCTGCCACTAGTGCACGAACCATGCCCCGCACTATGGGTGGGTTGAGTGTCCACCCCAGCACCTGCATCGTCTTCCGAACCTGCAACAAAGGCCCAGAAGGAAGGACAGCATATGAGCAGAATTAGCTGAGGATGGATGCAGATACGTGTGTGCTGAGTCGATTTTTGAGTCAACTAAAAAATCGACTCAGCACCTGCAACAGAGGCCCGGAGGGAAGGACAGCATGCGAGCAGAATTAGCTGAGGATGGATGCAGATACGCAAATGCTTGCCAAGTGTATGCTTTGGAAACTTGTGACTCATCGATCTGCGAATAAAGGCACATGAAAGCTCACCTGGGAACAACTCTCAACCGAGAGCTCACACCTGAAAGCTCTTCTGGGAGCACCTGAAAGTTTGCCTGGGAGCACCTGAAAATTTGCCTGGGAGCACCTGAAATTATGTCTGCCCGAAATCACCTGAAAGCTCACCTGGGAGCAGCTGTCCAAGTCCCCTGCGAGCACGTAGGCCTGGAAGAGGCGAGCGTACATCCTGGCGTTGGGCTGCAACCCCACCCTTTTTGCAGCTCGTTTTCTTGAACTCTCACAAACGGCTCACCTGGGAGCAGCTGTCCAAGTCCCCTGCCAGCGCGTAGGCCTGGAAAAGGCGAGTGTATGTTCTGGCATTGGGCTGCAACCCCACCCTCTGCATCTCCTCAAACACCTCTGCTGCTTCCCTCACTATGAGGATAAAGGGGGGAAGGTTGGTGGTATGTAAAGGCGATTCAAGAACGAGAGTAAAGGATGATGCCAGGATGAGACAGTGTGGTCAAGGAAACGGGGCTGTAGCCCCACCCTCTGCATCTCCTCAAAAACCTCTGCTACCTCCCCCACTGCACCGGACAAAGATTTTGGATGGAAGCAGTGGTGATGCGAGAAGGGGAGAGGGAGATGAATGCAGTGTAGATCTCCATGCCAGTCCTGATGCCCGCTCCTTCCAGCTGCAACACCAGATTCACTGAGCCAGTGCACATAGACCAGCACACAGAGTGCGGATCCAACTCAGACAGACGGGCCAACGGGAGAGAAATGTTCCCCATATAAAAACCGCGTGAACTTAGACGACTTTTGAGGCGCCTCAAAAGTCACTGAGTGCGGATCCAACTGAGAGACAGACGGGCCAACGGGAGAGAAATGAGTCTCACCCAACCCGTGGCTCGCAAAGTGGGAGATGAGAGCGGTGTAGGTCTCCACGCCTGGCCAGAAACCCGCTGCTTCCAACTCCAGCACCAGCTTCAATGCCTGCCGGCACCTCAGCTTCTCCTCCTCAACCCAGAGACAGACGGGGTGGAGGGACGGAAATCATACTCACCCAACCCGTGGCTGGCAAACAGTGAGATGAGAGCAGTGTAGGTCTCCACGCCTGGCCTGATGCCCGCTCTCTCCAGCTCCAACACCAGCCTCACTGCCTGCCTGCACCTCAGCTTCTCCTCCTCAACTCAGAGACAGACGGGTGGAGGGGAGAGAAGAGAGACTCACCCAACCCGTGGCTGGCAAACAAAGAAATGAGAGCCGTATAGGTCTCCACGCCTGGCCGGATACCCGCCCCCTCCAGCTCCAACACCAGCTTCACTGCCTGCCTGCACCTCAGCTTCTCCTCCTCACTCGCCTCCCTCCTCCCCACTCCCACCCCCTCTTCCCCTCTCCTCCCCTCCCCTCCCTCCTCTCCTCCCTCCTCGCCTCCCGCTGCTCCTCCCTCTGCTCCTCCCTCCACCCCTCCAGCCAGCAGCGCCAGCTGTCGGTCCAGCTGCCTGTCCATGCTGCCATGGGCCTCCACCAGCCGGGCCACAGAGCGGTCATCAGGGGCCAGCCCCGCAGCCAGCATGCGCTTGAACGCTGCTACTGCCTCGTCTGTGCGCCCGTTCAATCCGAAGGCTGCTGACAGGGCCGTGAATACATGGCAGTCCGGTTTAATGTCGGTCTGGGCCTGCAGCATTGGGGTGGGAAAGGGGAGGGGACGGGAGGGGTTGGAATGAAGGGGGCAAGGGGGAGAGATCAAGAGTGGGCCTCCACCAGCCGTGCTACGGACCGGTCGTCAGGGGGGCCAGCCCCGCAGCCAGCATGCGCTTGAACGCCGCCACTGCCTCGTCTGTGCACCCGTTCAGGCCGAATGCGGCTGAGAGCGCCGTGAATGTGTGGCAGTCCGGTTTTATGTCCGTCAAGGCCTGCAGCATTGGGAAGGGGTGAGAAGGGGGCAGCGCCGCAGCCAGCATGCGCTTGAATGCTGCCACTGCCTCGTCTTTCCTGCCATTCAGGCTGAAGGTGGCTGAGAGGGCTACCTCGTCTGTCCCGACTTGTCACAAACACAGCACCGAAAGACCTACCCTCGGTCACCCACTCACCAGCACTTAGTCAAACACCCTTTGGGCGTCATCAGGGCGGCCAGCCAGCCTGAAGGCTGTGAAAAGCGAGCAGAGAGTGACCGGGGAGGGCTTGCAGGCAGCAGCGAGCATGGCGTCTAACAGCTGCTCCGCCTTGCCTGCCTTGCCATACACACAACACTGGAAAGCACAACCTCGGCCGCACACTCACCAGCAGTTTGTCAAACACCCTCTGGGCGTCGTCAGGGCGACCGGCCAGCCCATAAGCCGTGACGAGCGAGCAGAGAGTGACAGGAGAGGGCTTGCAGGCAGCAGCGAGCATGGCGTCTAGCAGCTGCTCCGCCTTGCCTGGCTGCCCCGCCTTGCCACACACAGCTGTGCTCTGCTGCCCCACCTTGCCTGGTCACGCACACAGTGACACAGCACTGGAAGACACGCTCTAGCCCACTCACTCACCAGCACTTTGTCAAACACCCTCTGGGCGTCGTCAGGGCGACCGGCCAGCCCATAAGCAGTAACCAGCGAGCAGAGAGTGACAGGGGAGGGCTTGCAGGCAGCAGCGAGCATGGCGTCTAGCAGCTGCTCCGCCTTGCCTGGCTGCCCTGCCTTGCCATAGACGGTCATCATGGTGGTGTATGCCTTGGCGTCGGGGGTTATGCCTCGTAGCCTCATTTCTTCCCACGCCGCCTCGGCCTTTGCCACCTGTAATACACGGGTGGATGGGTGGGTGGGTGGGAGGAGGGTTAGGAGCAAATTTGAGTCCAGTGCAGACAGTAAGCAAGCAGTCATGCCCGCCTTGCCATAGACGGTCATCATGGTGGTGTATGCCTTGGCGTCGGGGGTTTTGCCTCTTAGTCGCATTTCCTCCCACGCTGCTTCAGCCTTCTCCACCTGCCACACAGGGGCGGGTTGGTGGGTGGGGTGGGTGGACGGCAGTAAACAATACAGCAGTGCACACAGTGCTCTCATGCCCCGCCTTGCCATAGACGGTCATCATGGTGGTGTATGCCTCTTAGTCGTGTGTTATGCCACGCAGCCTCATTTCTTCCCACGCCGCCTCAGCCTTCTCCACCTGTAATAAATAGCAGGGGTGGGCGGGCGGACGGGTAGGTGGGAGGGTTGAGAGTAAATATGAGTCCAGTGCACACAGTAAGCAATTGTCGAGCTGTTTTGCCTTGCCATAGACGGTCATCATGGTGGTGTATGCCTCTTAGTCGCGTGTTATGCCACGCAGCCTCATTTCTTCCCACGCCGCCTCAGCCTTCTCCACCTCTAATAAATAGCAGGGGTGGGCGGGCGGACGGGTAGGTGGGAGGGTTGAGAGTAAACATGAGTCCAGTGCACACAGTAAGCAATTGTCGAGCTGTTTTGCCTTGCCATAGACGGTCATCATGGTGGTGTATGCCTTGGCATCGGGGGTTTATGCCTCTTAACCTCATCTCCTCCCATGCTGCTTCTGCCTTCTCCACCTGCCACACACAGGTGATTGGGTGGGTGGGTTGGCGCCTGGCGCTACGCAAGAGGACTCTCATCTGCTCATCTGCTGATCGTACACACAAAAACGAAATCAAGTTTTGAGACGTCTCAGGACTCCCAGCATGCTGATCTTCTCAAAAAGGAGATCAAATCAAATCAGGGGCTATCTCATCCGGCTCTATGGCACTTTTGAGAATTCTCAAAGTCGAGATGTCTCAGGACTCCCATCAGGCTGATCTTCTCGGAAAAGGAGATCAAATCAAATCAGGGGCTATTTCATCCGGCTCGTTTTGAGGCGCCTCAAAACTAGACTCGTGCTGATCTCCTCAGAAAAGGAGATCAAATTACGGGCTATCTCATCTGGCTCTATGCCTGTGATGTGAACGACCGCTTGATTAAGCACCAGATAAAAACCCCCTCAGGAACGAACCAGTCAGGAACGAACCAGTCAGGAACGAACCAGTCAGGAACGAACCACTCAGGAACGAACCACTCAGGAACCCACTCAGCAAGAAAACCACACCTGCTTGGCCCGCCCATAGGCGTCGATTTTCACAAAGAAGGAAGTCAAATCTGGTGCTATCCCATCCGTCTCCATGCCTGTGAACGCCCACTCGTAACAGGGAATCGGTATTCAATTAACAGAGAAACTTATACACACCTCCTTGGCTCGCCCATAAGCGTTGATCTTCACAGAGAAGGAGATCAAATCTGGAGCTATCCCATCCGCCTCCATGCCTGTGAACGCTCGCTCCATCTCCCCCAGCCGCCCGTCCTTGCCGAACCTCTCCACCAGCTTCGTGTAGTCCCGGGCGTCAGCCTCGTACCATTCCTCCGATAGAGACCACTGCATGACCTGCAAGCAAGGCATGTGGGATATAGATACGGCAGCGTGGGGAAAAGGGGGAGGGTGAAACTGCGGCAAAGGAAAGATGACAAGGACGAAAAGGCAATGTGGGCCAGAGGGGAGGGACTAAGGGATGACAGAAAGGGGTGAGAATGAGTTGACCTCTGACAAGAGAGGAATCAAAAGGCCTGGAAAATTCGTCGATTGAAAAGAATCACCACTCCCTCCTTCGTTACCATCACACCCACTCCTGATACACCCAAGACCTGATTTCTGCAGGGTGAATACATGTAGTCACACCCATCACGACTACTATCATCTTTGCTTGCTTTTGTCCTATTTGTATCCTCGTTACTGTCACACCCACCCACCTGGCACAGCAGCTCTCGGATATCAGCTGTGTCACCTCTTTAATTGTATCCATTGAATCACGACAATTCTTCCAGGCATCCTCGTTATTGTCTGTCAGACCCACCCACCTGGCACAGCAGCTCCCTGGTATCAGCCGTGTCCATCTCTTTAATCGTGTCGATCAGATCTCGGCGGTGCGGCCGTACGCCCTTCACCCAGCTGATCAGATGGGGGAAGACAGGGGCGAAAGAGGGAGGCAAGGCGATGGGGAAAGGCAGGAGCGATGTGGGAAACTTTTGAGACGCCTCAAAAGTCGATCAAATCTCGGCGGTGCGGCCGCACGCCCTTCACCCAGCTGATCGGATGGGGTGGGAGGGCCACAAACGCAGACATGCACAAGAGGGACGGCAGGGGGGATGGGGGAAGGCAGGGGGGATGGGGAAAGGCACGGGGGATGGGGAAAGGCAGAGGGGATGGGGGAAGGCAGGGGGGATGGGGGAAGGCAGGGGGGATGGGGGAAAGCAGGGGGGATGGGGAAAGGCAGGGGGGATAGGGGAAGGCAGGGGGGATGGGGGAAGGCAAGGCGATGGGAAAAGGCAGGGGGGATGGGGGAAGGCAGGATGGATGGGGGAAGGCAGGGGGGATGGGGGATGGCGACGCAACACAAATGTATATACTGGCTTAGGAACGAAGTATTTACTCGTACGTGGCACACATTCACCTATACGTAACAAGGAATATGTGATATGTAGTTATATGAATCAAGTTCGACTAATTTCGTACTTTTCGAGCCTCTGATGCAGCTCATCCTCGTTAGCAGGCGGCTTCGTTTTCAGCTCCTTTATAAGCACCAGCGCTTTGCGTGTAACGCGTCCAGCGACGAGAGGACGCGCTTCCGGCCATTTCCGACGACGATGCGCCGTGCCGGCCGCTAGCGCTAATGGCGCCATGCCGGCCGCACGGACGATCACTGGAGAGCATGGATTTTCTGTCTGGCGACCATCCAGCCGTCGATTTTGACATCTGCCTGATAGCTGTAGTTTTGAATCGGTAACAAATCCGTCTTTAACGAACCATGAATTGAGAGACGCGAGCGAGTTTCGCGTGAGAATGGCTGCGAGAGCTGGCATTGCGAAACGCGGCTTCTGAATAACGAGCAAAACGAGGCGTCCGAATTACGAGCGAAACGAGGCTACACCCGCAAACACGATTCGCAAGCAGCTGAGGGTCAGCGTATCGACGATTTTCGCAGCGACTGCTGCACTCGGTAGCTTTCGATACGTGTCGAAACAAGTCACGGGGTTCTACGAATCCGTAAAAGGAAGACAGCGGCTAGATGCTTTATTTGGCGATCGAAGCACGGGGGGGTCAACAAGGAGAGGAACCAACGAGAGGGGGATTCGCAATGACTCGTCTGAGGTCTGAGTTTATGGCCTTGCAACAGACGAGCTGCGGCGAATCCAGGTAAGGAAATGAGCAGACAAACTGAAGAAAAGGATCGAAGTGAAAGGTGAAGTGAAGGCAATTATTTTCGCGAATGGTGAAGATGAGTTGAGATAGAGGGAAGTATCGACAATGCTGGTGGGCCTTGGGAATTCAGAGCACTTACCATACCGTAGCACCGTATGCAACCGAGCGTTCATCATCTGATCCTCTGGATGCTTTCTGCGCTTACTGGTGTCTAGGGATGATCGGGATTGCGAAAATCAGCCACGCGAGCTTTCCACGACTCGCAACCAATCAGTGCCAATTGGAATTATCCTGGTGTAACACCCAAACTAATTCCACGAGGTAATATTAAAATAGCTTTCCAGGCTGAATTTATGGGGTGGATCTCAGACTTAAATGCATTCATGTTCTTCAACTTGATAGCATCATTGAATGTAGGACAGATCACACCTTCAAACATTACGAAAAGGAGCTGGTGCTACATCCAGATTTTATGTGTCACAGCAGTGCACCACCACACCACACACCAACATTAAAGCTACCCCTCCACAAGCACATGCTACTCCACTCTAACAGGCCGGTTTCTTTTTGGCGCTTCTGCTGCCTTGCTGCTTCCGCTCCCAGACTCACCATCTTCCCCCTTTCCTACCCCCGCCTCCTCTCCCCCAGCAGCACCACCACCCTTGCTCTCACTCCCACCAGCAGCACCGTCAGCATCGTCGTCAACTGATGTCTTGAGAATCTGCTCTGCTTGCACCTGCCGCCTCCCCTCCCTGCCCTCCTGCTTCGCCATCTGCTGCAGCACCGATGCTACCTCCTCCTCCAGCCGCCCCTCCGCCTTCAGACGAGCAACCTGCGTTGTAATCACATAGTAACAGTAATCGCAGAGTAGTAATCAAAGAACAGTAACATTATATCAGTTGGACACATCTTCATGGAGCCTACGCATTTGAAGCCATTTCGAGGCAGACTTTAACACACGACGCACATAAAAAACCTAGCCATTTGAACAACTACTTATGATGTCCCCAAATTCCGTCCCCAAATAAACACCTCCGAGCATACTCTTTTGCTGTACCAGCAGCCTTTGCTTGCTACGCTACATTGTAGAACCTTGACTTACTGCATTGTATACACACCATTAGCAACCTCACACCTTCATGTTGATGCACACGAACACCTTATCAAACAGCACCTGAAAATGAAACCTAATACAACCTGAGTTCCATCAGTTCCCAGCATCCCTCGTGCCACCCTCTCACGACCTCAACGGCAGCAGGGTGTGGAATGACATACAACATGTGAAGGTGCTTATTCTTGTGCTTCTTTTATTCTTCTCTATTTCCCAGACCGTGCACCTCCGTCATGACACATTCAAGTAGCTGAAATTGATGCAGATTACAATGCTTGAATCGATGGAGTTTATTATACACAAACCACCCATATGCAACATGTCAAGAGCCTCTCACCTCCTTCTTGGCGTCATTCCAGAGCTTGAACCGTAGCAACAGTCCCATGCCAATCCCACTATTGAGTCGACTCAAACGTAACAACCCCACACCCACTCCCACTTTTGATTCGACTCAAAAGCAACATCCCCACTCCCACCCGCACTACTAAGTCGACTCAAAAGCAACAGCCCCACCCCCACTCACACTTTTGAGTCTAACAAAATCAACAACCCCACACCCACTCCTGCTGTCAAGTCAACTCAAAAGCAACAGCCCCACACCCCCACTCTCACTTTTGAGTCCAACGAAATCAACAACCCCACACCCACTCCTGCTGTCCAGTCAACTCAAAAGCAACAGCCCCACACCCCCACTCTCACTTTTGAGTCGACCCAGAAGCAACAAACCCACTCCCACTCCCACTTTTGAGTCGACTTGAAAATCGTTCCAAGAGCCTCTCACCTCCTTCTTGGCATCATTCCAGAGCTTGAGCCGCAGCAACAGCCCCACCCCCACTCCCACTCCACCTGTGGCTAGGGCTGCGAGAAAACAACAAAAGGAGACGGATGAATAACGAACAGAGGTGTTGGGAGAGGGATGGGGGAGGCGGGAGGAAACGGAAAGGGACAAGAGCGGAAGACGAATAATGAACACCCAGAGCGTACATTCTTTAAAATGACTCTGTTCACTCTATGGGACTCACCCACGTGTATACACCAGCAATTCACTCCACACGCGTTTGCAAAATAATCAAGCCTATTGAACACCCAACTTTTTCTGAGATTTTAACCCTGATTGAACATCCCCAGTACACTCCACAACCCATGACATCACGTTTCTATAGTTCAAGTATAGTTTTCACAACTCAGACACTCCAAGAATCCTGAACTTTTCACCCACTCTCACACCCTGCAAGCCCTGCAATTCCTCGGCCCATCAAACTTATCCACTCTCACAGCCTACAAGCGTTCCAGGACAAACCCACTGCAGCGACCATACATCATCAACTTGATACAAATCACCTGCTCCCACACACTGCAAGCCCTGCATTTCCTAATTGAGTCTTATCAATCTCACCTGATTGAACTACCTGCCAGCCACCTATCGCGGTTCCATGACTCTCACCCACTGCAGCGACCATACATCATCAACTTGATACAACTCACCAACTCCTACAGCCTGCAAACCCCCTGCATTTCCTCGTCAAAATCGAGCTCACCAATTGAACTATCTGCCAGCCACCCATTACGGGTTCCATGACTCACACCCACTGCAGCGAAGCGACCATACATCATCAACTTGATACAACTCACCCACTCCATGATCCATTCCCACGGCCTGTATATCCCTGCATTTCCTCGACTTATGAAACTCACACACGCCCACCCACAGTTGTTCCAGGGGTACGAGCACTCACCCACTCCCCACTCTTTCTCTACAGTATAAGCGGAGGAGACACCCACCCGCGTGAGTACACGTGGCAGCACTCACCGACTCCCACGGCCTGTAGCACCGAGATCCAGTACGTGTCGTCCAAGCCCGCGCGAGCTGCCACGTGTCTCCTCCGCGCTGCCGTCAACGACGGCGACGATCGCGGCGAAAAATGCGGCGAACGCGCGCCGGAAAACGCTACTTGTCCGGGCTGGGCGGAGGAAACCAGGGGTCCGGCGACTAAATTCCCTGTCGAGCCGCACTTACGTGACGAAATCACGGCCGTTATTATCCTATTTTTCACCGCGCGTTGGACGGTGACAGCGTGGTCTATCGGTCGTCGATTTCTACAAGTGTCAAGCGATTGGCTGCCGAAAAAATCTGTCCGCAACGAGAATGCGGAAGGAGCTGCAGCGACTCCGACGTGGCATTTCATCGTGGCAATGGCGAGTGCCGCGTCGCACAAGGCTGGGCGGATGTAGCCTAGTTCAAGTATGTTTCGAGAATCGCCAATAGAAACTGAGCGACAAGACAGGAGTGCTTTACGCGACAGTCTCTACGACGAGCTGATGCTATGTGGGTCTTGGTGGAGATAAAACTAAGGCAGGAAAAAGAAAGGCGTGTTGTATTTGCCGATACCCTACCGAACAAATGCAGATATCAGATTGACTGGTGTACAACGGGTAAAATCCCATTGAGCCGCAGTCGGACGAACTCGGGAGATACGAGGGTTTAAGAAAGCTGGATGTGAGGGCAAAACTTGCATTCTTCATATTTATGAAGACTGCTCTCATTGAGAGTTGAACTCAAGACCTCCCGCTTACTAAACGGGTGCTCTAACCAACTGAGCTATGAGAGCTATGAAAATTTTAACAAATTACTAATATTAAAAATCAAAATGTATCAGAGTTTCCATAGTAGGTTTCAAGCAACGTTCAAGAGCCTCGCGTTCAAAACACTCTCTAGAAGATTCTGGATTCTATAAAATCCTCCATCTTCTTCGCCATTTCTTGTCTCCACCATTTCCAAAGAGACCCCTGAACCTCGCGTGCCAAGCACCGTCCCGTTCTCTGCGCTGTAGCGAGCTGACCTGACCTGCCCGCCTCGACCCGCCGCCACCCGCCATGGCGACGATGGAGAAGGTGCAGATCAGCGGCGACGGCGTCGAGGTAAGCCAAGCGATTTACTAATTATACTCGGGAGTGAATCTTGAGTCAGTCAGGCATTTGGGCATTTTTCCTATCCACTCGGTCGTGCACGCTTTAGGAAGGCCGAATTTTCTGTTTGGTCCACGCTGTTTTTTATTTGTTTATTTATTTTTGGGCGGTCGTGCGCGTATGTCCTGCAGACGTTCGACGCGTTCGTGGCGGGCGAGGAGGGCAAGCCCGGCGTGGTGGTTCTGCAGGAGTGGTGGGGCGTAGACTTCGAGGTCAAGAACCACGCTGTGAACCTCGCCGCCAAGGGATTCCGAACGCTCATCCCCGAGTGAGTGGCGAATAAACATGATGGCTGTTAATTCAAGTGATTCTCGTTTCAACTTGAGATGCGATTCCTGATCTGACGATGCCAGATCGGATGTGTTCGACGAGTACTGAGGTGTTTCTTGGTTGCGAATTTTT